CCTCTTCATTATTTACCACTCCCCAATTTTTGTGTCGTCTGAAAACTTTATTAGTGATTGACCTTTGTTTTATTCCATGTCGTTCAATAAGAACGTTATAGTAAGGGTCAAGAACTGATCCCTGCGGTACCCCACTAAAAACACACCCACTTGATTATGTCCTATGTACAGATACATTTTGAGACCTATCAGTTAGCCTGATTTTAATTCATTTAACGAGTGACAGGTACATTTTATATCTTTCTATTTTTTTATCAAAATGTCATGTTGGGACTAAGTCAAAGTATACTACATCAACACTATTGCCTTAGTCAAGAAAACCTGTAATCTCATAAGAAAAAGATATCAAGTTAGTTTGATAGACTATTTTCCCTGAACCCATGTTTATTTTCCATAAACCCATGTTTCCATAAACCCATATTACCCTTCTTGAATTCTTTCCTGTACCAACTGTTCCACTATCTTGCCCAGGGTCAATGTCAGACAGACAGGCCTATAATTACCTGGGTCATCCTGTTTCTTTTCATATATTGGCACATAATGAGCTTTCTTCCAGTCTACTGGAACTTCCGAGGTATGTTAACTTAACTGAAAATAATCATTACCAATCCAGTGAACTCTTCAGCCAGCTTTTAAGACCCTTGGATGCAGATTGTCTGGAACTGCTGATTTTAAAATGCTTAACTTTAGTAGCCGCTATTTAACATCCTCCTGATATACAAATGAATTTTTTTTATAGCCGTCTTCACTTCCCTGTTAAATCCGTTTTGGTTTTTTGTTTTTTAAAACCATTATGGCCGCCTTCCTCAACTGTGGGATTGTGGCTTTTTGGGCATCTAGAAAAGTGTTCTTAAACCATTCCATCCTATGCATGTTGGAGATTAGCATTTTTTCTCACCAGAGGTGTCTCTCCCCCCATGGGTTCCCTCAACCTGGTTTAGCCTACCATTCAGTGGTGACCTTGGAAGAGACCGGAATCTTGGTTGAAGATGTACTTAAGTAACCCTTCTCCTCTTGCAAGCACTTCACAAACATTTAACTAATCATTCATCTCACATTTACACTGAAAAAAGAATTTCTTCCAATTTTGAAGAGGCTACCAGTTCTTGTTAGGATAAAGTACACCTCTATCCCGATGTAACGCGGTCCGCAGGAGCCAAAAAAATCTTACCGTGTTATATGTGAAACCATGTTCTATGTGAAACTGCGTTATATCGAACTTGCTTTGGCCCCCCTGCTCCTTGTTCCCTGACCGTCCCCTCCAGAGACCCCCGTCCCTAATCACCCCAGGACCCCACCCCCTACCCAACCTCCCTGTCCCCTGACTGCCCCGACCCCTATCCACATCCCTGTCCCCTGACAGTCACTCACCGGCAGCTGTGGAAAGCAGAGAAATGTGGCCCCAGCCCGCTGCACTCCGTCAGCTCCCAGCTGTGGCGCTCTGCTTCCCTCCGTTGGTCAGTGCGGGGGGGTTGGGGAAAGGACACCCCCCACACTCACTAGCGGCGCTCCGCTTCCCACTGCAGCTGGGAGCTGGCGGAGTGGAGCGGACTGGGACCGGTCTGCTTCGCTTCCGCTGCTGCCGGGGAGTGCACGGAGGTTGGGGAAAAGACGCCCCCCGCACTCACCTGCGGCGGGAAGTGGAGCGATGCAGCCCCAGCCCGCTGCACTCCTCCAGCTCTCAGCCGCAGCTCTCCACTTCCTGCCGCCGGGGAGTGCAGGGAGGTTGGGGAAAGGATGCCCACCGCACTCATTGGTGGCTGGGAGCGAAGCGCCGTGGCTGGGAGCTGGCAGAGTGGAGAGGGCTGGGGTCGGGCTGCTCCGCTTCCGGTGCTGCCGGTGAGGGTTGGGGGTGGGGGAGAGATCTTTTCCCCCAAGCTCCCTCCCCCGAGCGACACAGCTGGGGCTGAGGCGAGGGAAGTGGAGCGGGCTGCTCCTGGCCCCCTGCTAATCACCTGGGCCTGCGGGGCCCCCAAAAGTGCCCCCCCCAGCTCCCAGATCCTGGGGTGCAGGGGAGGAGGCCTGCTTTACTGTGTTGTATGCAAACCCATGTTATATTGGGGCAGAGGTGTATAAGGGATTTCTCTGAAATTGGGCAGGCTTTCAAAATAGGGATATTTTTAAAATGTCACTTTAGATATCAACTTACAGTAGAACCTCGGAGTTACAAACACCTTGGGAATGGAGGTTGTTTGTAACTCTGAAATGTTTGTAACGCTGAACAAAACATTATGGTTGTTCTTTCAAAAGTTTACAGCTGACCATTGACTTAATTCAGCTTTGAAACTTTACTGTGCAGAAAAAAAAATGCTGCTTTTAACCATGTTAATTTAAATGAAATCAGCACGAAAACAGTTTCCTTACCTTGACAAATCTTTTTTTACACGTTCCCGTTATTTTTTAGTACTTTATGTTTAATACAGTACTGTACTGTATTGCTTTTTTTCTCTGCTGCTGCCTGATTGCGTACTTCCAGTTCCAAATGAGATGTGTGGTTGACTGGTCAGTTTGTAACTCTGGTGTTCGTAACTCTGAGTTTCTATTGTATCTTCAGTGTGTAAATGGGGAACTGGAGGCAGAGAGGTTAATTGATTCTTCAAGAAACCAGATGCTTAGATGCTGTGGTGATGGGTATGGTATAAAAACTTAAGTAGAAACTGTGTCCAAACTTGTTGTTTTGGAACAAGATGGTGTCTCAGATCTGGCTGAGCTCCTGCTGTTGGACTTTCACTAGACAGCTGTGAGGGGATTCAATGCTGAATCCTCTGTGCCCTTCACTTGATGGGACTGGGCAGAGTTTAGGCACTGTTTGTGGCTTTGGGCCTCTAAGCACACACTCAAGATGCAGACTTCATGTGTGATGCCCCTCATGGGAGTGGGTACTCCATTATCTAAGCCCTTAAATTAGTGCAGTCTGCCCCAGACATCCCCTGCAGCTCTTGAACAGTCCCCAGAATCCTACCAAAGCTGTGAACCTTCTGGTTTACAATTCACCTCTTAAGAGGTGTGTGACAGTGAAAGCCAACAGACAGACTTTGTACAGGATCCAAAAACACCATTGATCTCCACTTAGCACAAGAAATATACAGATGTGTATAAAATAAACCTATATTAATTTCCCTGTCTTGGGTTCTTCACCATTTTGAGAGTTCTTTGCCCTTGGGCAGAGTCCCCTGGGGTGCCCAGGATCCTTTCCCTGCAACTTTTTCTTTTCTTCAGAAACGTGGAATCTTTCCAGCTCAGCTTGCTTTCTCTGACCTTGGTTCGTCCCACAGTTCAAACAGACCGCTGCTACAAAAGCATACTTGTCTCTTCTATGCCTGTCCCAAGCTTTCTGTCCCTCTAAAAGGCTTCTCCCTGGGAGTCCTTTTTAAATCCTGCTCTGTCACCTCTATCCCTTTGTTCTGTTTGGGGAATTTTCCAGTTTCTCTCTACTTTTCCATCCTTTCAGACAAGTTGGAGGAAGAAGCGTCTTCCAGTTCCAGTCAGCCTCTTTAGCAAAGCAGTTTTTCAGTCCAGTACACGTTAAAGTTAATGACTTTCTATTGACCCTGGTCTGGTAGGAATGTGCTACGGTCCATTTTAGCACATGATGGATTCCACGTCCACATAGAATTCCCTGATTAAATTTTTATAGCAACTTCATAACATCCAAGCAGAATTTATAAACTGTACATAGACAGATTCCCCAAATCATCACAGACAGTAACTCAGTTAATCTGTTTGGTGGGTAAGCCTGGAAATACCTTTTTTTCCCCCCAATAATTAGAAATCATGCATCACTTGGAGTCAAAGTTGATTTAACTTAGTTTTGAGAAGTCTTGGCATAAGTTTTCAGTTCCCAAGTAGAAAGATGTCTGCATTGAGTAAAGAGAATGTGTTAAAGACTTATATATTGTGCATCAAGATGAGCTGGAATAGACTGGCAAGCTGTGCACAAGCGCATGGTGCTATGTACATGGTCCAGGCAGTGTAAAGCTGGAAGGGGCTGTCTTTCTGCCCCCATCTGAAAGTCCCTTTTCCTTTTTGTCTGCTCCATAGTAGTAGCAGTTTTGAATGATAAAATGGGAGTGAGCCAAGGCCTTGTTTCATTTAGTGTGTATCTTGGAAGGTGGCGAGTAAGAGGTTCCCACTGGCAATTGCTTAAAATGTATGGGATACAGTATTTCAGTGGTGTCCAACTGAATATTTTCATATTTCAGTGGTGTCCAACTGAATATTTTCATATTGTGAGTCTTCTGTTTTTCTCCTGTTTGTTAAAAAACAAGAAAAGGAAATTCCATCCAAACTGATTTTAAGAACGTTGAGGTTGTATTGGTCATTCAGTCAGAAAATGACAAGGTAAAATTCCATTAACATTCTTGGTCTAGATTGGAGTGGCCAACATGTGGCTCTGGAGCCACATGTTGCTCTTCAGAAGTTAATGTACGGCTCCTTGTATAGGCACCGACTCTGGGGCTGAAGCTACAGGTGCCAACTTTCCAATGTGCTGGGGATACTCACTGCTCAACCCCTGGCTCTTTCACAGTGGGGGGCTGCTGACATATTACTATGGCTCTTTGGCAATGTACATTGGTAAATTCTGGCTCCTTCTCAAGCTCAGATAGGTCACCCCTGGTATAGATCCAAACCCCTGGACTAGATCCAAACCCCTGCTGGGACTGTGCTGCACTGTCATTCCAGAAGTAGTCTCCAAAAACATGCCCCACAAAATATGGCTGTGCTACGTACATTTGTATGGGCAAAAAGGAAACAGAAGGGTGCTTGCTCAAACTTCGTAGGTCTCTCTTTCTCTTTTTAAGAGGCCTTTTGAAAATGTGGCCATGTGTGCTGCAGTTGCCAGTCTCGGTTAGGTGAGTGAAGGATGCATTCAAAGTCGCAGCTAGAATTTACTTTTAATGATAATCTTAATGTAGGCAGAACTTTGTTTGTGCATATGTATGTTCATGTATTTTTACCATAAAATATCTCGTTTTAATGTTCAGTATCTTTCTTTGCAGGCTGAGTATGTCCAACTTGTTACTGAACTTCGAATGACAAGAGCCATTCAACCTCAGATAAATGCTTTTTTGCAAGGATTTCATATGTTCATACCACCTTCTCTTATACAGCTTTTTGATGAATATGAACTGGTAAGCAGCAGTGTCTATATTTGTAACTGACAGCATTCAGCACTTGATCACTAATGTAATGAGGTAAAAGTAAAGCTCAGTGTTTTGAAAGATGATAATTTGATATCCATGCTTTAGTTTTCACTTCTGTACACCTGCTCTGAAATATCTGTCCTTGTTCACGCTGATTACCTTAGGTGAGCATTTTCCTGAAAGATGGTAGTATTGATCACTCATTATAAGAGTAAAGTCTTGCTTTGTAATACCCAAGATAGAAAGTGCATGTGTCTTGTGGTGTCCATAATTCCCTTCAGTAAACTTCAGGAAACGCTCCTATTGCCTAGTTTATTTATCATCTTCACCCATTTCCTACTCTCTGAATCAAATTCAAATTTACTTTCCTAAAAAATCTTCGTGGAGTTCCTGCATTTTTCATCTCTGACTACATATATACCTACTTAATACCTTGGAGAAAATGACCAGTCTGGGTCTTTTCTGCCTGTTTTCCATGATATTCCATGATTTGTTTCCCTATCTGGATGTTTCTCTTCTTTCCTTCTTCCTAAGCCACAAAATCACTTGGTGTAAAATTTTCATAATGATCTAGGAGCCCAAGTCTCACTGAATGTAAAAATATAGATCAAACTACAAGCATTAAATATTATTTAATGTAAAATAGTTAAGATTGGAAATTTTACTTCTACTGGAGTTTAGTAGTTAAACTAACACCCAAATCTTTTACTAAAACCAGAAAATTCAGAGCAGAAATTTCATAAAAAATCCTTCTTAGGCAGTCTTGCCCCATTTATTTGATTCCGAAGGGTAAATTGGAGTTCTAGCCTCCACTACGTGTACATATTGAAAAGTTCAGCATGTGTTCTAATGTTTGTACTTGTGAAACCAACACTGGCATGTGCTGATGTTACAGATTTCTAAAATGCTCTCATGTTTTCTCCTGCAAAGTGTATGTGTATTTGTACACACATTTAGGGGGTCATTGGAGGGGGAACAGAGAAGCCACTGAAAATTAATTTGCTTCCCTTGTTCTTAAAGAAATGCAGACTTTAATTTCTTCAGCGTTTTGTCCTTTGTCTTGCTGCCCCCTATCTATGTACATCTAAGATCCTGTTGTACATAGTACACATGTGTGCACACATGCAAGCTTAAATACAATTCCAAGTTGTCATGTTAGGGACACCAGTTCATTAGACACACTATCTGAAGGAGTTGAAATATTGCCCTGTGATTCGTCATACGTGCTATTTTTTGTAGAATGTTGAAATTACACCCCGCACCCCCCATATTGTAGATTATGCTGTTCTGCCAGTCCACTGAGTTCTAACTGGAGGGCTTCACAAAAGTTTTGCTGCTGTTCATTAAGCATTTTATTTTCTTCTGTCCCCTCTCAGGGATGCTTTTTTGATCATTGGGTATCTCCTCCCCTCATGTCTGTTCTGTCACTGTCACCTCGATTAAGGTGGTGGGGTCAGTCTAGAACCTGATCTTCAATCCTCATATCAGCAAGGTGTGTCAGACAAGTGTTAAGAACAGTGTGCCTCTCTTGCTCCCTTTTCTTCTTCTCCACAATGCATTCAGCTCCTGCTGGGCAAGGAACAAAACACAGCTTTAAGCTCCAAATTTGGCCTTCTGAATAGTAGTTTGTGGTACAGCCACTAACCTGTACTTCTCTAAATTTAAAACCAACATTGATATTTTAATATAGCATTCAAAAATATTATATTAAAATTTAAAGAATGTTTTATTATTATTAAAAAGGAAAACCTGTCATATCAGGTGATCACTTACAGACTTAAAATTTCTTAACCTGTAAAATCTTTAGCAGGTTTTATTGTAGAGATAGCAACTGATTCAGACCTTTCAAAATGAAATTAACACCACAGTCTTCCAGTTATGCAAGTGTTTTGGTTTTTAATATTCAAATATGCTTTTTAAGAGGATTTCTTCCATTATCAGAGGTCTGTGCAACCATAAAACACAAAGGATTTCTCATTCTTATATAAGGGATCTGATGCATTTTATAGTAAGGTTGAATATGTAGCCCTCATACACTTAACTATTCCCCTTAGAATCTGTTTTATTAAAAGGGGTCCTGGTGTCTGAGAATGCTTTTACCTACTTTGACATTGTATCTTTGACTTCTACTTTCATATCTAAAATATTAAATTGTCTTAGTCTGGAAGTAATGAATTAGTATGATGCCCCTCCTCATTGTCTCAGCGTAGGTTGATCCTCCAACTCTAATGGATTTTTGGCATCCCTCTACTGAGAACAGCCTGTTTAGAAAGATGCTAGTCTTCCTTCTGTCTCACAGTAGATCAGATATGGATTTGGATTATCTCTGCCAAAAAGGATGAAAGTTGCTTCCCCCTTGCCAGGAAAGAAGGCCAAAGAAAAAACTACCTCCAGCTGTGGCACAAGACTTTCCCAGTCAAGGAGAGAGGTTTTTCAGCCAATCCATTTCTGTTCATTGGAGAGCTAGTAGTCTGCAAAGATCCACCTTGCCTGCAGGACGGGTGGATAGGTTGGCTCTAGAGGAACTCCGGTACCAGGACTGTACTAGCTCCCTTGCTTACACTGCACTTGCTTGTAATTAAATTTCTACTTCTGATGACTTGCAGGTGGAATTAAATAATACACAAAGGTTTGCCTGTCTTTTTTAAAATGTAGGAGACTCAAGGATCCTGTATTATAAGATTTGATATCTTATTTATTATTAGGAATAAAGTATTAAAAGCAAATTAGAACAGAAAAGGCGTCTTGGTTTCATTCAGGATTATTCTTTAATTAAGGCAACTGCACTCTTCAAAATTAATTGTTTGTCGAGAAGACTAATCAGGATTTGTTTTTTTTTCCCCTGAAGGAGCTGTTGCTGTCTGGTATGCCAGAAATTGATGTGAGTGATTGGATAAAAAATACAGACTACACAAGTGGCTATGAAAGAGAAGACCCTGTTGTTCAGGTAAAGTCCCAGCTGAATGGATGGAGAATATTGTATTTTAATCCTTCAAAGTTTTTGCTATTTTTGGATGAAAACTTACATTAACCAAAGTATTCCTATAAATCACTTAAGATGGGAATGTCGCATAATAAAATGAGGTATGAATCCGACTCGGAGCTAATTTCCATAATTTAAACCATAAATTTATAAATGTGCCCTTATTTGTTTATATCTTTTTTTTTCCAAATTAATGGAAAATGAAAACATTTTTTAAACTTATTTTTCATTTAGTGGTTCTGGGATGTTGTAGAAGAACTAACTCAGGAAGAACGAGTGTTACTATTACAATTTGTTACTGGCAGGTGAGAAATATTTCTGTTTATATTTCATATGTTACTCGTACTCTTGAATCAACTGGATTGCAAATGGAAAGACACATTTCCTGACCAAGAACTGTGTTTTTTCTTAACTGAATACTCACTTAGGAGTCTACCGTTTGCTGTGGGTGGGAGGTAACTTGGGGCTTTTGGCATGGAGGAAGTCATGGGAGGAAAAGTGATTTTGCACCAGGAGTCGGTTAATGTTTTATCACTGAGGAGGATATGCATTTTCCATTTTCCTTCCATTTGTGGGAGCAGGCTTGTGATTTCTGGTGAGTAGAAATTTTTGAAGAACTTTAGCTTGTAGTTCTTTAGCTCAACAGTTTCCCCAATATGCTTCAGGGTCATCCAGTAGTGATGGATATGTTTGTTCTTAATCATGAGGATGGACATATTTAATGTTTATATTTTAGTTATCATTAAACTTCAAGTTTGGATTCCATTGAAATGAATGGGAACAGTTAATAGCTCTCGGGGCATAGTTGAAGACTGTCTGCAGACTCAGGAGGTTAATATCATAATACCACTTTATATTTGGTTCACATCTGAAAGGTTTTCTTCATAAAAATGACTAAAACTTTTTTCAGAGTGAAAGTTTATACCGTGAAGCACAATTCTGCAGCAAATTAGTCTTTCAGAATATCCCTAGCTAGCTATTTTGTATCATTTTGACTTACTGACATGAGATGCCAAGCCATAGAATCAGTAGCTAATAGCTGGATGAATGAGAAGGCCTGAGTTTTATTTTGTATTTGAATGTGGAACTCTAACTGTTTGTAGAGCAAAAGATCATCATTCTCAGGAGGAAAAATCATGTTAGAGAGATACAACCATAAGCACATTACAAGTGGATACTTTTATAATCTTTACTTGTAACCATTCTGAATTGTAGCTCTAAGCACAGTTCCGTTTGAGAAACTTTGTTACTTCAGAAGGTGTAAGCCCAAGTCTGTACATCCATGGGTGACCATAAATCCTGGAAGAAGAAAGTTGTCTGTTAAATCTCATCGTGGTAATAGTTTATATTGGTTATCTATATCTGTTGGATATGGATAGCTAGTACTGATATTTAGCATCTAAATATTTAAGTACCATTAATTGGATTACTGTTAGACTATAAAATCCTTTATTTAGTCACAAAACATACATGGCAATGCAAGCCCTCCCCATTTCCACTACTTCACCCAGTAGGCTTTAACGCTGTTTGAAAGAGAGATTGACCCCTAGAATTGAGAAGGTATTTCATTCTCCTTCCGCATTCAATCCTTGCAAAGACTCAGTGTTTTTTCATTATTTTGCAAGCATATTTTTAAAACTGTACCTGAAATCCAGAATTTTAAGTCATATTCAGATTCTTTAGAAGAATGTCCTTGTGTTTATCAGATTATTTTATTCTAGCTACAACTCTTACTGAACAGTATTTTAATATTCCAAGTGAGGGTCTCATAGTAATGTCATTTATATTTTAACATTCATGTGCACTGTATACATAAGAATTTAAGTTGATATCAAATAATGGTTGCACTTTTATGAAACTATTGTGACTTTTCATTACTGAGAATTTGGGTTGAGGGATCCTTTGGAGTTATGTCTCTATCTGGTTGTCTTTTTTTTTAATTGTTTTTGAATACTATGGGAGGGGGGATCATGTCTCCTGAGAGAAAACACCACTACTATACAAAACAAAACACCCCTCCCACTCCCACCATTGAAAAGGTTTTTATACCACTATTTTAAAGATGGCCTCTAATGGTATAGGTACTATGCTGAGTCTCATACTGTAGGTTAGTGTGAGTCACATTATTCAGGGTGAGAATGGATTTATAGTCACGCTCACAGTATTTCTTCGGTTAATATTTTCCTTAGTGTTCCACAATATTACAATTGGTAATTACTCTATTAAGTCACTTTTCTTTAGTATACTGGCTTTACTGTGAGAAATACCACACTGTTAAGTCTTGACTCTTAAAAAAGCCAAAGCTCTGGAAAAGACATGTCAAGAATATTTGGTAGATTAACTTACTTTTTATAATGGAAGGGTAGTTTTTTAACTGATCTTTCTTCAACTATAAAGACAACAGGTTTATATATATATAAAGGAAAATCATCAAGTGCTAACAATGGGTGAGTTCCTCAAACACATGCTTGCCCCTCTTATCTAGTGTTTAAACAATTTAACAGCTATCATAAATGGGACACTCCCATTTTCAACAGCATTACAGAAAACATGAGTGAGGCAGAGATTTTCACTATTGGTGAAGAGTGGGACCTATTGCTAACAACCATTCTTCCTTGAGTGATTGCACATGTCCGTTCCACTGTAGGTATGTGTGTGCCTTGTGCACAGTTGTCAGAGAACTTTCCTCCTCAGAGGTACCTGTTAGGGTGGCTCGAGCACCCTCTACTGCTGCGTGCCAATATAAGAGGCTGGAACTGCCCCTCATCCACCCTCAGTTCCTTCTTACAGCCAGTGACAGTGGTTGGAGCACTTCCAGTCTTGCTATCGCAAGTTTAGTTCCCTCACTCTCTGTATATAGTCTTTTCCATTTAGTACTTAGTTAGTGAGTTGTAATACATAGTTAGGTTTCAGTTGTTAGGTCCCTTTTGGACCAAATTTGATATTTGGTACTGAAGTCATGCCTTGCTCTCCAGGGTTCAAGTCTTGCCGGTCATGTGTCAGACTGATGCCAGTCAGTGACCCACACCCCAGCTGCCAAAAGTATCTGGGGGAGTCCCATGTCAGTGACAGGTAACACATTTGCTCAGAATTTAAGCCTTACTCAAAAAGACAGAGCAGCGAGACTTAACTGTCTCTTTATGAGGATGGCACTTCACCCTTCATCAGAGCCATTGGGTTCAGAATATTCTTAGACCATCAGCGCAGTGTGTGCCTCCCAAGACATCTTTGGCACCATGTTCTGTATCGACAGTACCGAAGAAGAGAGAGACACATCTGCCAATGACATGGTACCTTATCCAGTAAGATCTTGGTACTGAGGTCAGGTAAAAGAAAGATTTGTGGGACGGACTTTGAAGGCAAAGATTCCCCTGAGTGCTTCACTGCTGCAAAGCGAGGCTAATCAACTCCAGAGCCAGTGTCAGGTCTGTTGAGGCCAACCCCTGAAGTTTGTTTCAGACCCGGTCCCGAGGATGCTGGAAGTGTACGTTACTGCAAAAGAATTACTTAACCCTCTGGCACCGGTATCCCTGGCAGTGTAGGAAGTGTTCCAGCTGCTCCTGATATCAGGTCTCTATGCCAGCTCTGCAAGAGTCTGTGATGCCAGTGCCGCTCCTGATACCTAGGAGGCCGGTACACTCCAGGGGCATGCCACCATTAATATCCCCGGTATCAGCATCTCTGGGTTCAGCTTAACTGTCTCCAGTGCACAATGATTCTGCTCCACCGTTATCGCAGGACTGAGTCACCTTTGTCAGATTTGGAAGTGGGATCTTTTGTGTCCCATACCGGAAGGGAGCGTTGTCCTCCATTAGAGCCCTGGGATCCATGGAAGTCAAGACAGTCTCAATAATAGGCACTTGCAAGTGACAAGTCAACCATGGGATCCACCCCCTCACCCTATACCAGTGATCGCTCTGGACACCGTGGGGTGTCCCTCCCTCTGCTAGGACCTTTTCCTCACCCATCTGAGTTGACTTCCTCAAGGATGCACTGAGATAATTGGCAGCATAGGCAACAGTCTTGGAGGCCTAGTACCTGTACAGGTACTGAGCAACTGGAAGTCTGAGAGCTCCTCCCCTGCAAGAGGCAGACCAGCCATTGTCTCTGCATCCTGGTGCATCATCTTCCTCATCACCAAATGAGGCTGTAGAGATGGGTGAGTGATTCGCTGCCACCAGAGTATCACAAGGCTCACCAGGAACTGCTTAAAAAGGTGCCCTCTGTTTTAGACCTTCACGTGGAAGAGGTCCATGAGAAATTCCACAATCTGGACATTTTACCGTTTGCTGGACCCTCCAGAGTTGCACTTCTGATTTAATGAAGCCCTTCTGGAACTGGATAAAATGCTTTGACAGATTCCCTTCTTTCCTCTCACCTATGATAAAATGGGCAGAAAGGAGATACTCCACCCCTTCTAAGGGCTTCAACCCTCACTTGCCATTAGGTGTTGGTGGAGACAGCAGCTAATGAGCACAAGAGGCAGGGTCACTAAGCATCAATGCCAAGGAGTGAGTAATAACTTTATTCAACAGGAGGTCTACAACTAAGAATTGCTTACCAGCAGGCTCTCCTAAGATGCTATGACAGTGACACTCCGACTGTGGCTCTTTAATGTCTCTCCTTTGGCTCTTTGCAGCACATATTAAAACACTGTGATTTAATTATTAACCGTTCTAACTTATTAACCAATCAGGAAGCTTTTACTGTGTTGTTAGCCAGTTGTATTTGATAAAATAATACTTGATTCATCATTTTGTTGTGAGAATAATATATATAAAAACTTAGTCTGTCAAGCGATTAAAAAATAATTGCGATTAATCATAGTGTTAATAATAGAATACTATTTAAATAGTTTGGAATATTTTCTACATTTTCAAAAATATTGACTTCAATTACAACACCAATACAAAGTGTATAGTGCTCAGTTTATATTTTTTATTACAAATATTTGCACTGTAAAAAAACAAAAGTAGTAATATTTTTCAATTCACCTAATAGAAGTACTGTAGTGCAATCTCTATCATGCAAGTTGAACTTACAAATGTAGAATTATGTACAAAAAATAACTGCATTCAAAAATAAAACTTTAGAGCCTATAAGTCCACTCAGTTCTATTTCTTGTTCAGCCAATGACTTAGACAAACAAGTTTGTTTACCTTTGCGGGAGATAATGCTGCCTGCTTCTTGTTTACAATATCACCTGAAAGTGAGAACAGGCATTCATATGGCATTTTTGTAGCTGGCATCACAAGATATTTGTGTGCCAGATGCCCTAAAGTTTCATATGTCCCTTCATTCTTCA